TTGGGAAATTTGATGTGTTTGTTTTCAAACAACCAGGGAATATATGTGTGATAAGATTTGTACAGAGAAGAGGAAGATTCAAAACAGCTATAGCTAAGTCCTCCGGCTGCAAATAAACAAGAACCAGGCTAGTGAGGGCAAACAGAACTACAGTTCCAGATGCACTCACTAGCTCCAGGCCACAGCAGGTATTTATGCCAATATGTCTTACACGGTTATTGAAAATCCCATCATGTCATATGATGTAGGCAATGGGAAATAGACTATTTATTCCCATGAATTCAGGAATGCTAAAATCCCTGCACTTACTTTTTATAATGCTGCAACACAGGTATGTCAGTATTTTGAATACAAACACTAAAATAACAAGCTCCACAGAAACAAACAAAACTATTACTGTGCTCTAATCATACATGATTGTAGCCGGTGATGCTCACAACAAGATTTTTCCTCTTTACATGAAAGATTTCATAAAGTCACACAAACCCAAGTACCCAGAGGGAGGGACCTCACCGAACTAACTCGTAGGTCTCGCCCAGGAGCGGGTTGAAAGGCTTTCCGGTCCGTTCCCACTGGGAAGCAACAGCCGACACCGCGAAGGCAGCCACACACTGGGGGACAGAGCAGTGAGCCAGTTACAACCAGTTGGCTCTTCATTCTTTAGGCACTGAAATTCTGTTAAGGACAGTCATTTACCAAGTTATTTTGAACTAATTACTTTGGATTTTTAAAATGGCTCCAGCAACTTAATACAGCAGCTTCGACATTCAGAATGAAAATAAGTCCTGAATCTCTTAAGCATTATTCCCAAACATGGACACTTGTATATTTTTTAACATCCTGTGACTGCCACAAATTCTCTAGAGGACAGTTTAAGAACTTTCACAGCCAAAGTTACCTTTATTCATCTAAAACAATTTTAAAGGCACAGGAGTTGCAGTCACAGGGAAGAGATATAAGCTAAATTTAACTGGTGTCAAGTCCAACGAGGTTGGGAAGGACCTATTTACATACATGAAACAACAGAATTCTCATCAGGATGGTACTGCTTTGTTGGAATGAGAATGTGTCTTCTCTACTCTCACCTCATCTACCCATGTGTAAATATCTTCTATGTAAAAGAAAAATGAGAAGTGCAACTTCACTGCCTTTTAATACATGTGAATGTTTTTGTGTGTAGATCTATACACACCTGGGAACAAGCATGTGTACATGTGTGGCAATACAGTAAGGAAATCTGTAAGAAGCAATGCTGAAGCACGACCACAACAGTACTTCCTAAAACAAAGAGCTCCCGATACCCATGCGTGGTCATGACACCTTCTGCTTCTCCATCAGTCCCCATCAGTCTTTCCTCCCAGGTCACGCTCCGGCTAGCAGAAGGCAGGGGCCACAGAGGTAGGGCCACAACGAAGCCCTTGTGAAGGTGGCCCACCCCAGTGCTGGATTTCACTCTATGTCCTGGCAGGTGGCTTGGGGAGCATAGGTGGGAGAGAAACCCCTAAGACTTAAACCTGCCAAGGTCTGGCTTGACACACACCTGCATCCTTTCCACAGGATCTGAAAAGGAGCTGGCTTTGTGGATGAGGTAAGTGTGCTCCATGTACTCCGTCAGCCGCTGCAGGAAGCTCAACGGCTCGTTAAATATCACTGGCATCGTGATCTTGGAGAGTTCCTATTCAACAAGATAGAAAAGCATTATGTCCTATACACACGGTGAACTGCGCACAATCTTTATATAATGTAATTCTGGAAAGGAAGTAACAGAAAATTGTGATTCATGACATTTAACTCACTAACATCTAACATCCATTCAATTTTACAAATCTTTGCACAGTACCTAAAAATTCGGAGGATGCTCCTAATCCTTGAAGGAAGTTTGCCCAGGTACTCCTTGGCTTCAAGTACCTTACAAGCCAGTGGCAAGCATAAGCTATTAACAAATGTGCATTCAAGCAGAACTGGAACATGGGATATGAAGGCGCTGGGCACAGAAAAAACTGAAGCCATGACAGTGGTGTAAATGCAACGAATGAGGGGTCTGTGCAGAGGCAGTTTCAGCACCTTGGGTTCTCACTGAGTGAACTAAAACCCAGCTCAGGGTAAATTAAACTTTTACTAGTAAAAAACACCAAGCTAATTTCTAACTCAGAACTTTGCACATTACCCATCAGTGGTATTTTCTTTGTTGTGCTCCCTCAAAGAACAACTAAGAGAACATCCCCCTCGGTAGAGCACTGAATCACGGGGTGTAGTTCAGTGGGAAAGCTTTTGTGCCCTGGCACGTGGGTTAGCATTGCCATGTCACCTTGTGGGCTTGTCACTACAACTGAGGATCATCACACACAGATAATCTTCCAAAACAGATTTCAAGACTCTTTGATTCTTTCTGAGAACGCCAATCTTGCACACACCGGGGACTAGGGTACAAGGAGGCAAATATTTGTCTATTTTCTCAGACATAATTATACAATCACAGTAGATTTTCTAAGAGTTTAGTGACTGTGTAGAGTCTCTGACTTAAATTGCTATCTTTCAAGTTTGTTTACCTGGTCTCCAGCTTGTGACATCCTCATGAAGTCTTTAGGTCTTTCACAAACTTATATTGGTCTCTTCCAGAATATTCTGAAGATCTTCCCACACCTCCACCTGCCATTCTTCCTCCTTCCCTTGAGAACCAGGTCTCTCATAAAGCCCGTTCACTAATGTCACATGGTTGGTACATGGTCCAGGGAGAAGTCTGGCTGAACTGTCACCTGAGTAGCTCTGTTCTCCCCCTTGAAAACTTTTACTGAACTACATAATTATAAATGGTGCGACCTTCCCAAAACTGCAACTCAAGCACATTCAGAGGAAATAAGCTCATTAAATGAGAGACTGCAGAGCCAGGACAGACAGGGAGCGGTTCAACCTAATGAAAAGCAATGGCACACTTACTACTGCCTTGCTGGGGAGCTGAGAGAGGATGATACTCTGTGAGAGAAGGGAAAAAAGCCTCAGCCATCTCAAGCACATGCAGCCTAAGATTCCACTAAACCCAGAGATTCACTGTTGCAGAAAGCCAAAGTAACGGACACTACCAATGTATGTCTTTGAGATATCCTGGTTCTTTTCCTCCTGCTTAAAAGCAAAGTTCTATTCTTTCAATGCATAACTAAGAACAAAATACAATATAGAAGTGAGAACAGGAAAAGGTCTCTTCACTTCCCTCTCCCTCTCTTCCCTGCAGAGGCACATAGCAGGTCTAGTTTGGAACATATGCCTACATATTAACACATGCTGTATGCATATGCGCAAACAGATGAAAAGGGGGGCAGTAGGGAGAGTGCTTTGTTTCTGTGAAGCATGGCATCGGCTCTTTGCTGGACTGTTACTCTTACATAATGCGAGGCATGTATGTTGAGTCTTCAAACAAGTATTTTATCATCGTGCAATAGCATAAAGGTAGGGCCACTGAACCTCTGCTGGCTGCTCTGTGCCTGGCCAAGTTTACTCTGCTAGTTTTGTCATCAGTAACATGGACCAAATAGAACAGTATGCCTACAAAGCTATAGCTCAGTTTTGGGCACATTAGTAAACGCTGTGTGTTAAATCTAAAACCAAGCTCATAAATGAACATATCACAAACTAATCACACATCCTCAAAAATATATAAAAATACAGTTTCACAGATTTCTTTGAGTGCAGTTTCTGGGTCAAAAAGCACATTGTTGGAAGACTATACTATTGTTATAATATAATGGAAAACTGTAGGGGGGAGGAGGAGTTGGGGGAAGGGTGGGAGAGTGTATCCTTGAGCCTAAGGGACTGTACAATTAAAAAGAAAAAGACATGTTCACTTCGGATTTTTAGATACTACCACACTAAATGTCTTGCAAACATACTTCGGGGCAGTGATGCACAAGACTCAGATTTTGTAAGACAAAAGCACCAAACGAGGTATGTACTACTTCCCATCTGCTCTGTCATCTCCACACGCTCATCAAACATGTAACTGAGCAGGAAGCCAACGAGTGAACAGCATTCCAAAAGTAATCCTCTTTTACACCCAGCATGTTTCATCTTAACTAACTGTGCATTATAAACCCAACTGTTTCGTGTTCAGGGGTCCTGTATCCCACGAATAAAGCAAGAGGAGGTACAGTTCTCTCCTAACACCCACAATAACAGACTCGATGGTTCACACCTTAGCATCTGATCATATATTAGGTCACATCATCTTTGCTACATCATGGGTAGTGACCAACCCATCTTACTAACTACAAAACAGCAACTCCCAAGTCAGAGACAATTCTCCCACTTGCATTTTCATCACCTCAAGGACAGAGGGTTACAGTGCAGTTGCCCCTGCCTCAGATGGGCCCTCGTTTTTCCCAATGTCTGGAGTTTGTTTTCGGTTATCACACACCAGTGCATTTTCTCTGTCTCCTTTATCAGACTATAAGGATCTTGAATACAGAACAGTTAATGAAAAATGTCCAGTAACAAAGTGGCATACTTTTGGAATAGTATTCAGTACTAAAAAATACATGAAAGAAATGCCATCTGGTACAGTGGTTAAAATATGGGACACCTAGATCCCATATCAGCGTTCATGTCCTAGTTTCACTGTCAATGTAGGAGACAGTGACGATGGCTCCAACTACTGGGGTCCTTGCTACTCATGTGGGAGAGCTGTACTGAGTTCTGTGTCTCCGACCTTAGCCTGACCCAACTCTGGCTAAATAAACTGTTAATAAAGCTCCAACGTACCAGCCTAGCAGGCTAAGTCACTGTGTGGGATGCCTGCGAAGCAGCAGATGATGGCTCAAATACTTAAGGTCCTGCCACCCACATGGGAAACCTGGATGGAGTTCCAGATTTCCAGCTTCAGCTTTCTATAACTATTATGGTCATTTAGGGAGTGAACCAGCAAATGGAAGCTCACTCTCACGCGTTCTCTTTTATCTTTTTAAAAAATTAAGTAGGTGGCATAACCGATAACGTGCCACTTGTAACACCAGCATCCCATATGGGTGGCCAGTTTATGTCCTAGCTGCTCCTGTTCTAATATAGCTCTCTGCTAGTGGCCTGGGAAAAGCAGATGGCCCAAGTGCTTTGGTCCCTGCCACCCACAAGGGAGATCAAGGTGAAACTCATGGCTGTGGCCTGGCCCAGCTCTGTCCTTGGAGCCAACTGGAGAGTGAACCAGTGGATGATAAGATGAAATTCTCTCTCTCTCCTGTAACTTACTTATAAAATTAATTTAAAAATCTGTTAAAAATCAATTTAAACCCATATAATAAAAAAATCTATCAGAGTGAAAAATGTGGGTAATTTGAATGTACATAAAGAAATAAAGCCAGTCAGTCTGTACAGGCTATGTGCTGCACGATGCCAATTATACAACATTCTGGGAAAGGTCAGCGGTTGCTGGGGTAAAAGGACTAGGGGAACGCAGAATGCATGGACAGAACACAGCAGCAAGCTGGCCCAGAAGTGGAGTAGCCAGGACTAGAACCAGCACTCAGATATGCGATCTGGACTTCCAAAGAAAGCAGTGGCTTAACACAATATGCTACACAAACTGAGAAGTGCACTGAAAAATAAAATCTTTTAAAAGGTAACATTAGTGTCCCGCATGGTGGCCTAGAGGCTAAAGTCCTCGCCTTAAATGTGCCAGGATCCCACATGGGCACCAGTTCTAGTCCCTGTGGCTCCACTTCCCATCCAGCTCCCTGCTTGTGGCCTGGAAAAGAAGTCAAGGGAGGCCAAAAGTCTTGGGACACTTCACCCGCGTGGGAGACCCAGAAGAGACTCCTGGCTTCAGATTGGCTCAGCTCTGACTGTTGCAGCCACTTGGGGAATGAATCATCGGATGGAAGATCTTTCTCTCTCTCTCTCTTCCTCTCTGTATATCCGCCTTTCCAATAAAAATCAATAAATCTTTTTTTTAAAAAAAAAATCTTAAAAAAGAAGTAACGTTAAACTGAACATATGCTTTTGATCAGTAATACATCAGGAAAGACTGAACTATCTTTTTAGTTCTGTTGTGAAAAATCCTGTAACAGTACAGTCACCTGTGACAGGAATGTGTTACTCAAAAGGAACAGGAAGGGGTCAGAGCTGGGTGCAGCAAGTTAAGCCACTGCCCGTGCGGCCAGCACGCCATGTCACAGAGTGCTACCTTGAGTCCCAGCTGTTCTACTTCTGATTTAGCTCCCTGCTAATGCACCCAGGAGGGCAGCAGCAGATGACCCCCCCAGTGTACCCGCTCCGGTGGGAGACCTGGCTGGAGTTGCAGGTTCCTGGCTTCAGCCTGGCCCAGCTCTAAGGCAGTCATTTGGGGAGTGTGCCCAAGCACAGGCGACATTCTCTTTCTGCCTGTTTCTCCATGTCACGTTTCAAATAAATCTTATAAGAAGTTTTTTTATTTTCTTTAAAGTAGGAAGAAAGTAGCATTTAGAATAGTTCATTAATTACAATCTGTCAGTATTTTGGATTGATATTGTTTGTGGAACTAGTCAGGTATTTACTTCAAAATTCACTGTAATTTCTTCTAAGTATTTGCCTTAAAACCTAAACAAATCGGTTATGAAACACGTCTAAAACTATTACTTTAATACTGATGATTTTAGACACATAAACACATACTCCAAGATTGGTACAAGAAAAGTTAACAGCAGCTATCATCAGGAACCAGTAGAAGAGCACATTTAATTACTTTCTTCTCAGTATTTTCAGCAATTCTTAAAACGAACATGTGTTGCTTTTCTACTCAAAAGCAAAACAAGAGATGCAAGTTTAAACCTGGGAATCTCAGGCTGGCAGAAAGAAAGGATGGGAAACTGCTGAGCTCACACTCCTTCCAGGGCACACATGTATATTTCTGCTGCTCACAACCAGGATGTGGGTAAGTCAGTGTAAGTGCTGCCATGGGAGAGGCGGCACGCCACACTCACTGTGGGCTTAGTCCACGCTGAGCTTCCAGACCCAGAGACTGCCGCAGCTGGACAGCAGACCCTGACTACAAAGAACAGCATGGCTGCCAGAGGCAGGGAAGTCAGAGCCATGCAGGACGACGAGTCCTCTGGACGGATGCCAGCGGCAACAGCACAACAGGGTGGTTTTGTCTCGTGCCTCTGAACTGCATGCTTAAAAATGGTTATGGTGGTGAGGCTATGTGTATTTTACCACAACTGAGAAGCAAAGTGGGAAAAAGGGTTCTGAGATCAAACTCCCAGGGATTAAAAATCTGTGTTCCACTGCCTTTGGTGGCTGTGGCCATGACCAAATCCCCAACCTCCTTCTGAAGAGGAGACAGCCTCATTGCGTACTTCACAGAGACCTGGAGAGAATGGATTAATCCACACAAAACACTGAACAAGCGTGACAAGTTTAAGTGAGGTGAGAAGTAAATACTGCCTCCACCAACATGGCGTGCTAGAGATCCAAGGTCCCCCAAGGACCCTCAGAAGCGAGGGTGCCCCCGAGGCTGGGAGATGCTTTAGGGGGAGTTGATGAGCAAAGGGCCAGCTCCAGCTCCTCCAGCATCCTCAGATGGAAGGAAGCCCACTCCAAACCAGCAGGGACTTACTACCATATGGACCAGGCAGAGCCTGAGGACAGCCGTCCCTCAAGCAGAAGGTGACAGAGACGACGCCATTTCTGGCTCAGCCCTTTTCCTGTTCCCACTTTGCTGAGACTTCGCTGAGCATAACAGATTTTTCTTAAGGACTGTAAAAGACTACTTCATCGAAGTAACAAAGAACCGTATCAGTGAATATGATTCTGGATTTAAAAAGTACTAAAAACAAACAAAAACAAACAACAACAAAATCCCTAAAAAAACCCACCACAACTATAATATAATTCCTGAGAGAATACAATATATATTGGAGGTGACATTTTAGTATTTTACACCTTCCCTAATTAGTTTCACTGAATGGATTTTGCTCTGTATTCTAAGGAATCCTGGTCTAGAGACTTAAGCTTTCAGCTGGGAAATAGTGT